CTCATCTCTTATTACAGTCTTTGGTTTAAAATCTAATTTGTCTGATATAAGGATTGCCACCCCAGCTTTCTTTTGGTGTCCATTAGCATGATAAATGGTTTCCCACCCCCTCACTTTCAATCTGGGGGTGTCTTTGGTTCTAAAATGAGTCTCTTGCAGACAGCATATCGATGGATCTTGTTTTTTAATCCAGTCTGTTAGCCTGTGTCTTTTGATTGGGGCATTTAGCCCATTTACATTCAGGGTAACTATTGAAAGATAGGAATTTAGTGCCATTGTATTGCCTGTAAGGTGACTGTTACTGTATATTGTCTGTGTTCCTTTCTGGTCTATATTGCTTTTAGGGTCTCTCTTTGCTTAGAGGACCCCTTTCAAGATTTCCTGTAGGGCTGGTTTTGTGTTTGCAAATTCCTTTAGTTTTTGTTTGTCCTGGAAGCTTTTTCTCTCTCCTTCTATTTTCAATGACAGCCTAGCTGGATAGAGTATTCTTGGCTGCATATTTTTCTCATTTAGTGCTCTGAATATATCCTGCCAGTCCTTTCTGGCCTGCCAGGTCTCTGTGGATAGGTCTGTTGCCAATCTAATGTTTCTACCCTTGTAGGTTACATATCTCTTCTCCCAAGCTGCTTTCAGGATTTTCTCTTTGTCTATGAGACTCGTAAGTTTTACTATTAGATGTCAGGGTGATGACCTATTTTTATTGATTTTGAGAGGGGTTTTCTGTGCTTCCTGGATTTTCATGCCTGTTTCTTTCCCCAAATTAGGGAAGTTCTCTGCTATAATTTTCTCCATTATACCTTCTGGCCCTCTCTCTCTTTCTTCTTCTTCTGGGATCCCAATTATTCTAATGTTGTTTCGTCTTATGGTATCGCTTATCTCTCGAATTCTGCCCTCGTGATCCAGTAGTTGTTTATCTCTCTTTTTCTCAGCTTCTTTATTTTCCATCATTTCATCTTCTATATTACTGATTCTCTCTTCTGCCTCATTTATTCTAGCACTTAGCGCCCCCATTTTTGATTGCACCTCATTAATAGCCTTTTTGATTTCTACTTGGTTGGATTTTAGCTCTTTTACTTCTCCAGAAAGGGTTTCTCTAATAACTTCCATATTTTTTTCAAGCCCAGCTAGTATCTTTAAAGTGATGATTCTGAACTCTAGATCTGACATCATACTAATGTCCGTATTGAGTAGGTCCCTGGCAGTCGGTACCACCTCTTGTTCTTTTTGTTGAGGTGATTTTTTCCGTCTTGTCATTTTGTGCAGAGGAGAATAGATTAATGAGAGAACAAAATGCTAGCAGAGTAACCACATCCCCAGAAAATATACTCTAAACAAATCAGAAAAGACCTGAAGCAGTGGGATAAGAAAGGGAAAGAGAGAAAAAAGAAAAAGATAAAGATAAAAACAAAAACAAACAAAACAAAACAACAACAACAAAAGAAAAACCAGAATGTGATCAAATATGATCAGGCTGGTATATAGATCAGTGCCACACACTAGATTTGGGGTGTATTTTAGTCTTTTAGAAGAAAGTGCCTCCCAAAATTTTAAAGAAAGAAAAACTTATATATGTACAAAAATGAGGGTTGATATGATGAAGGGATGGAATATGACTGTAAAAATGGAAATTATAAAATTTTTTTTAAAAGGAATTGATAAGAAGTTGTTTGAAAAAAGAAAGAAGAGGACTTAAAAAAAGAAAAAAGAAAAAGAAAAAAAAAGGGAGAGGATGTGATCAGGCAGGGGAATAGAAAACACCATATACTAGAGATTTAGGGTATATTTTAATCTGTTAGAAGAAACTATCTCAAAATTTTAAAGAGAGAACAACTTATATATATAAGCCAAAAATATGGGTAACTACTATGAAGGGATAGAATATGACTCTAAAAATGAAAAAAAAATGTTTTTTTTTTAAAAAATGGGATTGATAAGATGTTGGTTGAAAAAGGGAAAAAAAATTCAAAAAGAAATAAAAAGACAAAAAGACAGTTAAAAAAATTAACTTTAAAAGACTAAAGAATCATGGTAAAAAAGCTGTGAATTCTATGTGCAGTAGTCCCCTAGCGCTGGAGTTCTGCCGTTCTCATTGATCAGTAAACTTGGTCTTGGCTGGCTGTTCTCGCTGATCTTCTGGGGAGGGGCCTGTTCCCGTGGTTCCCAAATGTCTCTGCCGGAGGCGGAATTGCCCCGCCCTTGCCCCCTCCCGGCTAAGTGATCTGCTCGGGTTTGCTCTCGGGAGCTTTTGTTCCCTGCGAGCTTTCTGGACAGCTTTGGAGGCGGAGAGTGAAAATGGCGGCCTCCCAATATCTGCCCCGGAGGAGCCCAGAACTTAGGGCCCCACTCCTCAGTGCGCCCCCAGAGAAAAGCCGTCAGTCACTCCCGTCTCCCCGCTCTCCGGCCGCACTCCGTGCTCACCCGGCCTGTGACCGCGCGTTTCTCTCTCTGGCACCCGACCCCGGGTGGAGTCTCCAAACCCAGCAGATCCCTGCGGTGCACTCCCGCGCGGCTCCTCCCGGGGGAGGAAGGTGAGTCTCCCCGGATCTGCCGCTTGTCGGGTCCCTGCTGGAGGCGCAGGGGCCCGACTGGGCCGCGGATCCCGGTCTATGGCCACCCCGAGCTGAGAGCCCGCGCCTGGGCTCTGTCTCTGCAGCCGGCTTCCCTGCTCCGTTACCTGGGAGCTCTGCCGCCCTCAGGCACCCCCGGTCTTTCTGTGACCCCGAGGGTCCTGAGACCACACTCTCCCGGAGGGTTCCACCCCCCGCTTAGCCACCAGAGTGACGTCCCTCGGCGGAGCCGACTTTTAAAAGTCCCGATTTTGTGCTCCGCGGCTCTCTCACTTGCCAGAAGCGGCCTATGGAGGCCCCTCCCCCGCCGTCTATCCTCCCGAATATCGGATTCACTTCTCCGCACGTCCTACCTTCCAGAAAGTGGTCGCTTTTCTGATGAGAGAGTTGTTGCTCTTCTTTTCTTCGATTTCCTGTTGAGTTTGTAGGTGTTCAGAATGGTTTGATCCCTATCCAGCTGAATTCCTGAGAGGAGACGAAATCCAGGTCTCCTACTCCTCCGTCATCTTGCTCTGCCCCCAAAGGAATACTGTTTTCCTATTCATACACTTCCCTATATATATCCTGAGGAAAACAATATTTTTTCCCTATTATTTTTTTTAAGAATTTTATTTACTTATTTGTCAGAGAGAGAGAAAGTGCACAAGCAGGGGGAGAGGCAGAGGGAGAGGAGAAGCAGGCTTCCTGCTAAGCAGAGAGCCTGATGCAGCGTTCCATCCCAGGACCCCAAGATCATGATCTGAGCCAAAGGCAGATGCTTAACAGACTGAGCCACCCAGGTGCCCCCCTAACTAGTTTTTTAAAAGGTAATATATACATGGTAAAAATTCATAAGTAGTATCAAAGGGTATTCATTGAAAGTAAATCTGTGCCCTACCCTAGGCCTCTATTATTCTTCCCCAGAGGTAACCATTATTAACATTTTCTAGTTTTTTCCCAGAACCTTTAAGTATATAATACATATTAATATAGCTATCTCACATGCAAATCTATCTAAATGCAAATCTAATTATATATTTATATCTGTATTTTAAACATAGTTGGTAGCATCCTATCATCAAGAGCTCTCCATTTAAGTTTATAGAGACATGTTTTTTTGTGGTTGTAAGAACACATAACAGGAGATCTACCATTTTAAAAATTTGAGTGGATAGTATAGTGAGACATTATTTTTTAAATACACTTCATGATATTCCTACTCTGACTGCATTATAGGTATTTAATTGGTCCCCTGTCGATGACTATTTAATATTTTTCTAGTCTGTTGCTATTTTAAGCAATGCTGCAGTGAAAATCCTTGTACATATGTGTGTCTGCCAGAGTCCAGCAGAAAGCAGATGGTGTTTGTAAAAGCTTACCTGAAGAGAGTTTACTGGAGGAACTAGGAACACAGGTGCTGGCAGGATTAAAGGGCGCAAGAAAAAACAGTTGAGTGCTTGGGGACTAGCAAAAGAAGCCTTCACCTCCCTTAGGCCCAGAGGGCTAAGGGGAAGGAGCAGTGTTAGTAGAAGCCAGGGAGCCCACCACTGTGAGAAAGACCACCCAACAGGAGATGTGGCCACAGACTGAGGAACGTAGCCACTGCCCAAACTGCAGCCTTCAGAGTAAATATCCTGACTGTTCTCTCCTCTTGCTCTCTGGTTACCTGCTGGTACCTCTGCCAACTGCAAGTAGAAGCCAGAGGACAAGGACGCCCAAGTGATGCAGTCCAAGGAGGTCAGATCACAGGGTACAGGTAGGCAGAGTAGGGCCCAAAGACACATCTGGAAGGATAAATGGAGAATAACCAGTTCCTGACTTAAACTTCCTTGACTTACAGTGATAGACTTTACAATGGTGGGAAAATGATAGCATTGAGTAGAAACTGTACTTTGAATTTTGATCTAAGTGCTAGTGGTAGGAGGTAGGATACTCTCTTGTGGTGCTGGGCAGAGCAGCCAGCCACAACTCCCAGTCAGCTGCAAAATTCTGTACCCAGACAATTCTGTTTTTCACTTTCAGCACAGTATTCAAAGAAATACATGAGACTGTTAACACTTTAATGTACCATAGATTTTGTGTTAGATGCTGTCTCTCAACCATCAGCACATGAAAGGTGGGCTAGGCTAAGCTACGATGTTCAGTACGTTAGGTGTATTGGAGGCATTTTTTACTTAGAATATTTTCAACCTACCACGAGTGTATCTGGAGATAACTCCATAGTAAATCGAGGAAGATCTGTAATATGTTTTTGCATAAATGTTGGGAAATTTCTTAGAACTGGAATTGCAGTGTCAGCAGGCGGGAAAGACCTTCCTCCACCTCCAACCCCCCTACCCCCTTCCTTTCATGGCTATTACCTGTGCTTAGCTGTGCAGATGGCTACTCAGAATTAGGACTACATTTCCCAGCTTCCCTTGCAGCCAAAGCAATATAAGAGGAAGTGTCAGTCATGTGGCAGCTTCTGAGAAACTTGAGAGACAGCTGATGCATGCCTTTGTCCTTTGTTATTTATTCTTTGATGTAATTTACATGCTGCCTTGGACCAGGAGCTCCAGGGCCACACGCTTTGGATGGTGAGTAGAGAGAGAACTGGAAGGAACTAGATTTCTGAGCCCTTCATAGAATATAATTGCCCTACCAGACTTGAACTGCACACCTCCAGATTTCATTTACTTGGGAGAGAAATACACTTTTACCTTGTTTAAATCATAGTTATTTTCTTGTCTGTGTCGTGCAGTCAAACCTAATCCTAATGAATGCATAATTAAACTGACTTTTCCAGACTTAGTTTGAATCCAGCTACTCCATTCACTACACATGTGACCTTGAGCAAGTTTCTTAACTTCTGTGCCTTTGTTTTCTCATAGGGATGATGATAGAAAGGACTTCATTTTGTTGGTATGAGGAATAACTAAATGAAAATATCTGACATTTAGACTAGTGTCTGTCCAATGTAGCAAACATTCAGTAAATATAAGTTATTACCATTATTATTACCATTATCATACTTAATTGTCCTCTAAAGAAGATGTACTAGTTAGCCTATTAAATGTCTGAAATGTCTTTTTCCTCTTCCCTTATTAATACTGTGCATTAGCAAAGATTTTTTTCTAATAGATGAATAGTGTATTTCATTTTTATTTTAAATTGCTTTCTAAAATTATGAGGTTGTACATCTTTACATTTTTAAAAAATCCATTTATATTTATTTTCTGATGAACTTCCTTTTTGTGTCCTCTGTTCATTCTATTGGATTTTTGTTTTGTTTTGTGGTATGTCTTTTTTTAAAGAAGCAATTCAAGCATTATGGAAATTTGCCTTTTGTCTGCTATGGGTGGTGCAAATATTTTCCCTGATTTTCATTTGCTTTTTGACTTTATTTTTCTATACAAAATTTTTAAAATTTCAATATAGTAAAAATTATCTTTCTCTACCATCATAATATCTGAGCTTAATGTTATTTTATTTTATTATTTTTAAAAAAATTTATTTACTTATTTTAGAGAGAGAGAGTATGCACATGTACGTGAGCAGGGGTGGGAAGAGGGAGAGGGAGAGAGAATCCTTAAGCAGACTCCCTGCTGAGCACGGAGCCTGACAGGGAGCTCGATCTCAGGACCCTGAGATCATGACCTGAGCTGAAACCAAGAGTTGGACACTTACTGGACTGAGCCACCCTGGCACCCCTTAATGTCCCTATTTTTGTATGTATGTATGTATGTATGTATGTATGTATGTATGTATGTATGTATCAGAGAGTGAGAGTGAATGAGCACAAGCAGGGGGAGCAGAGGGAGAAACAGGCTCCCTGCTGAGCAAGGAGCCTGAAACGGGACTGGATCCCAGGACCCTGGGATCATGACCTGAGTGGAAGGCAGACGCTTAACTGACTACCTAATGTCCTTATTTTAGAAAGATCTTTCTCACTCTGGATTATAAAAACAATTCCCCCATGTTTTCTCGTAGGACTTTATAGATTGATTTATATAAGAAATATTTTCTTCATCTGGAATATAACTTGGGGTAGGCAGTGAGGTAAGATTTGAAGTAATTCTGCAGACTACTGTGTTGGAAGATGGACAAAAATGAGCCCTCTGACACATAAATCCTACATAAGTAAATTTTAGTTTACTTTGATCCACACAATAGATATATTTTAAACTAAGCATGCCAGGAGCCATCCCACTTGCAGATGTTGGGTAAGCTTGCCTCCTCAGCTTTCTCTTCCTCTTGGAGGGAAAAAAATAGGTTGTTTACAATGGCATTTTATATTTCCAGCATAAGGTCCTGCCAGGTCCAGCATAATTACTTTGCCAGCCTACAAGACTGCCTTTCACACATCACATTACCTGCTTCTCACTTCCTGGTGATGGGCACCAGGACCATCCTGCTACCTGTTCATAGGTTAGACAATAATGCCAAGACATTTGTATACCTGTGCTAACAATGATGCATCTGTGGACATAGGCAGTCAGTAACAGCCCATGTTTTAAGGCCAAGGGGGGATTGAGCCCAGGACCTGCCACTAGGCTCCATCTTCATTTCTTTTTTTCCGGGGCTGTCGGGGGGAGGGGGTTGTCAGTTGTTATAATGGTTGAGAACACAAGCTCTAGAGTAAAACTATTTGACTATGTACTTCCAGCTTGAGCTATGGGGACAAAAGCCAAGTTTCCTTCACTTTTTTTGTGCCAAAATGGACATTATAACATAGTGTGAGGATTAAATAAATATATTTCAAGTGCTTAAAAATTTCTTAGCAATGATCAGAAATGATCAGCAAATATTAAAAAGGCCTTTCCCAATCCAGAATATAAAAATAACTTCCCTGTTTTTTCCTAGGATTTTACAGATTCATTTTTATAAAAAAGATGAATAACATTTATAACAAATATTATAATAAGTATAACATAATAAAAATTAAACATTTAAAGAAAAGTATTATAACTTTATGAATAATATCATTATTACTATTATTTGAAAAATGCATTTGCTTTGAAATATTGCCTTGGTTATATACTAAATTTGCATATGCCTTTGAGTCTAGTTCTGGATTCTCTGTCCTGATTTATTCATTTAGCTTAACCACATTTGCTTTATAACATACCTTATTATCTGGTAGAATTTGCTTAATTCTTATGCTTCCTTTCAGAAAATTTTTTCTGGCTAAGCATGAATTTTGATATTTATACAATAATCTTGGATTCAGCTGCTCTGATTTTAAAAATTCAATATTTTATTGGGGTTGCAACAAATTAACATATTAATTTAGAGATAATTAGCATTCTTACAATATTAACTTTTCCTATTCCAATACAAGGAATAGCTCTATGTTTATATTCAAGCTGTTTTTTAAAAAATATCTCTCAGAAGAGTTTTAAAGTTTTCTGAAAGTCTTCTTTATATTTCTTTCATGTTCCTTGTTAAGTTTATTCCTTCCTTCCTTCCTCCGTCCCTTCCTTCCTTCCCTTCTCCTCCCACTCCCTTTTCTTCTGTTAGGGCAAATGGCACCAATTCTTTTATTGTATTTGTAATTACTTCTTGTTTGTGTGGAAGAACTATCATTTGTCACTTTGTAAGCCTGGATCATGTAACTGGATCAGGAAAACTCATGAAAATTTAATCTTCCTTCCCTTGTTGCAGTTATGTACAATTCCCATATGTTGCGGGGGAGCCTGGGTGGCTTGGTTGATTAAGCATCTGCCTTCCACTCAGGTCATGATCCCAGGGTCCTGGAATCGAGTCCAGCTTTGGGCTCCCTGCTTAGTGGGGAGTCTGCTTCTCCCTCTGCCTCTGCCTGCCACTCTGCCTATTTGTGCTCTCTCTCTGTCAAATAAATAAAGTCTTAAAAAACAACAACAACAACAACAACAACAATCCTCATATGTTGGAAGTAGATAAACTGAATCAAGAGTCTTAGAAGAGAAACCCCTGAGGTGACAGTAGCCTGAGAGCAATTCGGGAGAGAACAAATGTGACCCAGAAAAGAGCACACCGTGAATGAAGTGACTAGGGTGACACCCAAAAACCAGGTTGATTAGGAATTGCACCAGTAAAAAATTGTTGGATATGATCAAAGTTGTACACAGGCAAATTTAAGGTGTTATATGCTTTCTATAAATACAGGGACCTTTTCTTGAAAAAAAAAAAAAAAAAAAAACAGAAACAAAATCAGTAAAATTAAGACTAGTGTTTTTTTGTTTTTTTGTAAACAGAAAATTAAAGCAAACAAAATTAGAAAAGTAAAATATGGTAACATTATAGAGCTTTTTATTATTTAAAAACAAAATCCTATGTACCTATGCCAATAAAATGGAAAACGAATGGTTTGGGAGAAAATATAAATGACTAAAACTGATTTCAGAAAAAGTAGCAAAAGAATGAAAGCTACTCAAGTCATTTTTTAGAACTAGCACAACCTAAATAAATAAATAAATAAATAAATAAATAAATAAATAAATAAATAAATAAATAAAAACTAGATTACCCTGACACCAGAACCAATGGGTAAGGCTCTGGGACCAGATAGCCTGGCTGGTATCTTTTTAACCAACACTTACTTAGTTCTTACTCATGGCAGGTGTGGTTTCACAATTAATCCACGTAATTCTCCTACGGACCCAATGAGGGAGGGATTACTATTATCCTCATTTTACAGATGAGCAAACTGAAGAAATTCAGAGGTTAAGGAGCTTGTCTGCTCCCAATGTCACACAGGTGGCATGTGATGGCATTGAGAGGTGGCATGAAATAGTGTCTTAAAGCGTGTCCTCTAGTGCCAACGTACCCCGTTTCACATCCTGTTTCACCATGTTCTCGTTGTAGGAAGACAATTTTTAACCCTTTTGTGCTTCAGTTCTCAAATGTGTAAGACTGAGAAATGAATAAGTAATTGTATAAAGAGTTTAGAACAGTGTCTGAACATAGCAGACACCCCTTAAACATAATGCAATTATTACTGCTATTAGTACTAAAATGGGACACAGAATACATAAAAATATGTCATTCACATATATGTACAAAGTTTAATTTCCTGATACCAAAAATATCAGAAAATCCAGGAATTTAATTAAGTATACTAATGTATACTTTGGTTTTTCTTTTTTTAAATTAAATTTATTTTTTTTAATTTAAATTTTTTTCACATACAGTGTTCTATCAGGTGTACAATATAGTGATTCAACAATTCCATATATCACCCAAGTGATATTGTAAGCTCATCACAAGTACACTCCTTAATCCCCATCACCTATTTAACCCACCCTTTACTAACCATCAGTTTGTTCTCTATAGTTAAGAGTGGTTTTTAAAAAAGATTTTATTTATTTATTTTGACAGAGAGAGAGACAGTGAGAGAGGGAACACAAGCAGGGGGGAGTGGGAGAGGGAGAAGCAGGCTTCCCACTGAGCAGGGAGCCTGATGCGGGGCTCAATCCCAGGACCCTGGGATCATGACCTGAGCCGAAGGCAGACGCTTAACGATTGAGCCACCCAGGTGCCCCTAGAGAGTGTTTCATGATTTGTCTCACTCTCTCTTTCTTCTCCCCCCCTTTGCTCCTTTACTTTGTTTCTTAAA